CATAGCCATTTTGGTGGAGAAAAACTGTGGATTCAACTATCCCGAAATTATCTCTAATCAGATCTTGCGCTGGCTGCAAGACAGTATCAAATTGGCCAGGCAGTATCCATTTGCCAGACAGTTACCACCTGCCATCCGAGCGTAAAAAAAGATACTGGACAAAACGAAAGCCCGATATTATTTTTTAAAAAAAGTCCAAACATACGCCAAAAATAAGCCAAAGCCTAAATATCTGCTCGGAGAATAGGCTGCCCCAAGGTTTATGTAGGAAAGAAGGCCCTAACATATATAAACAGGCCCCCCACCCCCGCCATTGTACCAGGAGATTATAGGGCTATAATATGTGCTTATTCAAGATTAGGATCGGGAAAGGGGTGGGGTGGGGTGGGGGGCCTGTTGATTATACAGAAGCAAGCCATTATACATTATAACTGGCACTGCATTTTATATTCAGGCTATATCTGTAGTACCGTGAAAGCTGGGCCGTCATACTAAAAACCTATACATAAACATCTAAACATAGGATTCATAAATTTGCAGACGTAATGCCCCCCCCCCCCCCGAATCTCTCACACGCACTGGGCGAAGCTGCGTTATGTTTTCTGGGCGCAAACAATTGTCCCCACTTGTTTGTTCCGATCAAACTGAACCTTGGACATTACGTAAAAGGTTAACCGTCTGAGGGTCGCCATGTAGTGTAGGGGCGAGAATATATCAACACTCTTACGCTACGCATAGGAAAATACTGTATATGTTAGACGCAGCAGTTTTTCTAATACGTAACTGAGCTGGTGTGTTACGCCAAGGGGGCGGTTATACCGGCTATATACAGGTTCAGATACGTTAGTAAGTGGAAGAAATAAGGGTACTAGTATATATTTATACAATCTCCTATAAAACCCATGGTAGAACGTTTATATAGTTATTATGCTCAATTAAACATACAAATACACTAATGTAAAAGACATTTTTGGAAAGGGTTTGATACTGTGTTGATAGAAGCAATACTATAATACATTAGACGTAACGTTCGCCTTCAATGTCTATATTTGAATGTTATATATTTGTAATAAAAATTGTAACCACGCATATTTAGAATCATTCATGTACTTAAAATTAAAGCGGAGGGGTTGGGTCTGTCTTCTGCTAAAAATTCCTAATGCGTCTCTCAAGAAGTATAAGGAATAGGAACAATACTGAGTAGTTTCAGAAACCGAACATTCTAAAACAAAAATGGTACCGTCTCGTGCATCTATTTGTTATGGCTAGCAGGCCGTCTTGAGAGAGAAACCCCCACTCGCGCCCCTGAGTCAGGACTGGCCTAACAGAATTTCCCAGTCGGGGTTCAGTTACATGCAAGCCTTGACGTAGCCTCCATAGCATGCCAAAACTGGGGGTTTGGGGGGTCTTTGGGATCTTTTATGTGCTATTTTCTGATTGCATATAGACAACATAGCCGGCCTGGTTGAATTACACCCGTTTTTTAGAACTGGGCTAATCAGAAAACAGCCGAAGAGCACCAAACCCCCAGTTCTATAAGCCTGCTACGGACTAACGGAGGCTACATGTCATGAGAGCCTTGACGAACTGTTTATCAACCCCCGGGTGAAACTAACGGTGTCGTCTTTCTTCCAGACATGTTCAACACAAATCAGACGTCTTTCTGTACAGATTACATGACTGTATGGATGACATGGGCTACATTCGGGGACACCGCACGATACTAGTATATTTCACGTACTCTCCAAGCAGAGGTTGTGGGGGAATGATCGTTAGCTTTTTATAATTATATATGGTCCTTCTTTGTCGGTACCCACCAACCCGTCGGTGGCCGGCGACCTTCTCTGGCTAAAAGTAATGGATACTGTCTTGCCACCGAAAGGGATCTGCTTGGTGATTCTTATATTTCACGATACATTTATGAATTCATAAAAGTGTTATGCAATGTACTGGTTATATTATCGTTCGACAACTCGTCTGCCCGTGATACCGTTATGCCATAGGCAATTGTGGTTTAGTGTCTGAGTCATAATTAACGTTATTTGTAGATTATTTGTGGTTAGAGACAGAAGTCATCATTACGTTGTTGGCTAGGCTAGGCAGGGACCCCACTTCCCATACGTAAATACAAAAGGAAGTGCGGCCCAAGTTCTCCAGCCGAAGATGATGAACTTCCGCATACGGAAATCGGGCTGAATAGGGCGGATTAAATTATCTACTCTGACATAATACAACACGACACTGTTGCGGTGCGGTCACCGTTCCCAAAATGTTCTTTTCAATAGTTCACCCTGTGGGGTTGGGAAGATTGTCTATCTGACTGTGATTGTGGCTGCGGTCTACAGACAAAAAGGCAAGCGGAAAGGCAGGCGAGAGAAGCGCCTGGAGGCATTTAGGGACGTCACAGCACAGTCGCACAGTGTGTGTGTGTGTGTGCTGACTGACATTTTGGCACGGTTCCCAGTTCCAGCTCTAACCTAACCTCAGTCGGGGAGAATGTGGCTAACCGCTCCAGACACCGCCCCGTCTGAACCGCGACTCGGGCAAACCCCGGCCGTTCCCCCCAATCACCGCAAAGCGTTATCGTCAGAATGGACTTTGGTTTGTGGCTTATATATATAGCACTAGGACAACAGCAATAGATTGGTGGTGGTAGCGACCAAAAAGGGGCTATATATAAAAAAGCGAACGATCTTCCACCATCAACCTCTGCTTGGAGAGTAGGGAGGGCCAACACACTGCAAATCGTTATCGTCGGAATGGACTTTGGTTTGTGGCTTATATATATAGCACTAGGACAACAACAATAGATTGGTGGTGGTAGCGACCAAAAAGGGGCTATATATAAAAAAGCAAACGATCTTCCACCATCAACCTCTGCTTGGAGAGTAGGGAGGGCCAACACACTGCAAATCGTTATCGTCGGAATGGACTATGGTTTGTGGCTTATATATATAGCATTAGGACAACAACAATAGATTGGTGGTGGTAGCGACAAAAAGGGGGCCATATATAAAAAGGAAACGATCTTCCACCATCAACATCTGCTTGGAGAGTAGGGTGGGCCAACACACCGCAAATCGTTATCGTCGGAATGGACTATGGTTTGTGGCTTATATATATAGCATTAGGACAACAACAATAGATTGGTGGTGGTAGCGACAAAAAACGGGCCATAATATATATAAAAAGCATACGATCTTCCACCGACCATCAACATCTGCTTGGAGAGTAGGGAGGGCCAACACACCGCAAATCGTTATTGACAGAATGGGCTTTGGTTTTTTATGCTGACAAATATATATCATAATAACAACAACAATCGATCTCTGTAAATTATAGATAATACAAACGTACATCATAATTTGTACACCTGCACAGCTACAGCTACAGTACAGACGGGTAGCCGTGGGGAGGGCCTAGGGGGAGGGCCAACACACCGCAAAACGTTATCTAGGGAATGGACTTTAGTTTACAAATATAGCTGACAAATATAGGGCAACAACAATAGATCTCTGCAAATTATATTGATAATACAAAAGTACCCTATAATTTAGATTGAAGTGGGGGGGGGGAGTAGTCGGACGGGTTCGGAAATATGATGTGGCCCGATTAGTGACCCGACATTTTCCCACGTTTGTTTGTCAACAGAGCCACAGACAACCCCCCTCCCCACCACACCACAACAACAACCAAAACAATGTCGTTTTGAAGCGGGTTCGTAGATAGTTTTGCGAACAACCACGGAGAAGTGGGGAAATCGTACGACAGAAAAGAGGCAAGGTAGGTACAGATTACGTCCGCATTTTCAGTGGTTGGACATTCAAGAGAACGCTCGTCTCTCCATACCATATCTATCCTACATAGTATCGTACATATATGTGTTACTGAAGAATGATTCCTAGCCCCAAAACTAAAGGTTATGATATAGAATACGTCCTCTGTAACTGACGGAAGTACAGTAAACGTTACGAACGTTTTTAGCCACTATACAGAGAAAGGAGAAAGTGAAGAGTACACCTCAGGGCCGGTAGAGCCCTACAAATCGAGGAAAGCAAAACCAGAAGCCGGTCTTCTATGCATGCTGGCAAACGTTTTAATCATAATGAAAATGGTACATAGTTTTAAAAACGAAAGAAACGTTTTACAGGGCTTAAATATCGAGGACGTTCTCAACGTCTGTAGAATTACTAGTAAAGTCCGTACGTACAATAGTACACATACATACGTAAGTCACGGGCACGTCCTGCTAAAGCATAAACAACGGCTTCAGTCTCGCAAAATCCCACTTCCCAGCTCAAAATTATCGCCTGCAGGGCTCCTCGCTAAGCCTGAAAACGTCCAGGTGAAATAAAATCGTCCTAGGTTTACTCCGTTCGCATGGAAAATGTTGCCACGGCCCAAAACACCGGCAAAATGCAACTCGTTCTGCATTCGGCACCCGAACCCCCCTTCGTGGGGTCTTCGGGTCAGTTCCGGGCACCCTTCGGTAAAAATCGATGCTTTGCATTATTCCGCGTTTCTCCCTATAAGGGCATTCCCGCGACAGCCGAATTGATCCGAAATTCTTCGGCGGCAGCATCGCCAAATATGGTGCGTCGCTGAGCCCCGACGATTTGTGACGTTGCAGCCTCTCCCATTTCTATGCCCATATATGGTAAGGCTCGGTTCCGGTGCCGACCCCAGGAGACAAAGGGCCCTGTCAAAGTGGCCCGCCTAGAGTCAATAAATAATTGCAGGGTGGTCGCCGAATCAGGTGACCAAATATCAAAAGAAAATGCTTTAAAACTGGGATTTTTCGCCAGAAATCTGGATTTTAGAGTCAGGCACTTGTTTTATTTTCGTTCTTCCGCCTCGGAAGCTGGCATTGAGGCGTCATCGTCATATGCGGCGAGCGCTATCAATTTTCATTGAGCCAATTTGTAATCTTTTATTTATACAGACGTCATCTTACGTCACTAGGACAACACGGAACCGACGGCCTCTGATTGGCCTCCGAATTTTCCCGACGTCACACGAATCCTGGATATAAGGAAAACGCCTACCTTCTCGGCTGCACTCAGTCGCCTCTCCGAACGAAGCCGAACACTCACTTCGTGTATCTCCGCAAACCGCACCGATCACTCCCGAGCGCGGCCCGAGTCTCACTCGCTTCGGGTTCTGGGGACGACCGAAAACAGCCGGACGCTTCTCCGCTTCGTTCGCAACAAGCGAAGTCGATCCTTACTTGCAACAAGAACAGATGTCTCGAATGATGGATGCACTTGACACTTTGTCACAAGTAGCCACGGAGCTGAAGCTATCTGAAGCAGCTACGTCGTCTCTGCTCTGTTTCGATACCAGCTTTTTCAACAACCCAGCTCCGCTGCCTGCAAATTTGAGGCCCGAAGACCTCAGTGTGCACACCACGGTGCCCAGCGCTACCGCCGCCGACGGCATCTACACTCAGGGAGAGCCCGTGTCGGAATTTAGCGACCACTCTTCGGATTCGCTCGGTAAGTTCTGTTTTCCATGTTTGCTGTATTACATGTATAGTAATGATCTGCTAGTGCAATGTTTACGTCGCCGAAGAATATAATGTGTTGGTCCAACCTGTGCTGTAGTAGTTATTATGAGTGGTATGGTTTGAGTGAGTAGGCGTGTGCCAGAGCGGGCGCAGGGGAATTACGAAGTTTGCTTGTTCAGAACATCCGTAGAATAGATTCGTGAAGAGAGTGGTGTATATAGTATAGGCGCATGTTTGCGCGGAAAGAAAAGTTGTTATAATTCTCGAAAGCGGAAAAGAAGTCGGTATTATTTTGTGTTAATTGTTAAAAATGCCCGGTGGTGCGACCGGCGCTCGAATCGGCGTTATGCCAAGTGGTCTTCTACATACATCGATCGTAGTCCCCGCCCCCTGAAGTGATTTGGAAATTAAAAAATCAAATTACTTCATTCATAATTCGCCAATGTGCGTAAGTCAGGCCTGACCCGTGTGTGGTGTGCGGGGTTGTGTGGGCGGGATCTCGCGTGGCCGAGGACTACATTTACACCCAACCACGCATTTCTCTGACATTGTCTCCTCCGCTCTCTCTCCCTCACCGTACACAGGCAACGGATTCAACGCGGAGTTCACCATCGCCCCCGTCGCCGACTTCTGCAAGCGCGAGGCGGGCGACGCCTCCTCCGCGGCCTACCCCGACTCCAGCAAGGCCGTCAGCGGGAACAGGATCGTGTACCGCGGCAGCTTCACCACGGCCGGCGCCGGCAGCGGCGACACCGCCTGGCAGTGGCCGGCAGAACACACCGCTTCGCTGCTGACCCTGCTCAACACCAACATCCAGAACGCCTTGAGCATGACCCAGCAGAGCCAGGGAACAGAGCCACTGCCGCCGCCCGTCTGCACCAGCCCGCTCGGCGCCCCCTCCCAGGCCGAGTCCGTCTCCAGCTCGCACTCGCCCTGCCTCACGCCAGAGCCAGACTCCACCACCGCCTACACAACCTGCGAGAACACCTACCTGGCCGACACCAAGACCTACACCGGCGCTCCCATGGACATGAGCAGCGGGCCCTGCCTGCCCATCTTCAGCCAGCCCGAGCCGCAGCGAGCAGGCCTCCCCATCAGCGGGAACGTCAAGTACCAGTGGCCGGTCATCCCTGACTTCCCGTTCCAGGCAGGGCAGACCCAGGTGGACAAGGCGACGCCTCCGCCGCAGTACGGCGCCGAGCACATGGTCCTGCAGAGCGGGCCGCTCACAGACTTCGTCACCCTGACTCAGAAACTCATCAGCCAGCCGTACAGAATGAGCCCGAGCCCCAGCAAGGCGTTAACAACATCGGACGGCTGCGCGGTGGTGAACAAGCCGCAGGCCCGCAAATATCCCAACAGAAACAGCAAGACGCCCCCGCACGAGCGGCCGTACGCCTGCCCCGTGGACACCTGCGACCGGCGGTTCTCCCGCTCCGACGAACTGACGCGACACATCAGAATCCACACCGGACAGAAACCGTTCCAGTGCCGGATCTGCATGCGCAACTTCAGTCGGTCCGACCACCTGACGACGCACGTCAGGACCCACACGGGCGAAAAACCCTTCCAGTGTGACACTTGCGGCCGGAAGTTCGCGCGCTCCGACGAGAGGAAGAGACACACCAAGATTCACCTGCGACAGAAGGGAAAGAAGGACTGCAAGGCGCTGGCGTCTTCCCCCTCCGACAACTCCCCCTCCGCGGCCGTGTCAGCCCCTCCCCACTCCAGCTTGCTAACTCTGCCGGTCAGCACCGTCACGACTTCTGCCTAGACTCTTACTCACAACAACAACAACAACAAACCGAAAAAAACTTCGCTACTACAGACTGAAGAACTACTGAAAAAAAACTACTGCTCACGATCATCTCACCATCCGCACTACAGTGTCTGAACTCTTGTCTCTCTGTGTTTCCGAAGGGCTAGTTCTCCTTTCAGTGTGACGTCGTCTTTTGGGTTCACGGTTCGTTCTTACGTTTCCAAAATGTGGTGGTAAAAAAAACCGGTGGTACAGTTTTCTCTCTCCAGACTTGTCGGATTGATAACTCTAAGATTGACACCTGTATAAGCCACAGACCTGAAGACCCGTGTTGCCAAAGAAAGACAGTCGGTAAGAAACGCAACTATGCCAAGTTTCTCTCGACAAAGCTTCTATAGTAGCTCGCTCATATTCCGTTGTTTGGTTCTTTGAATCTTGTATGTATTTTTCTGTTGTTGTTCTTGTGAGGCACCGTGTATATTAGACTAACGGTCCGGACTGGCGCCGGACTTTATAACGCTGTAAAACACTATTGTACTACGTAGTCGGTATTAAGGTGTGTTGCAAGATGATATGTCGTCGCCCTAGTCGCAGTACTAAGTACGTTATTGCGTATCTAGACTTATGTAGCTTCAGGTAGTGTCGGAAAGACTGGCTTTAAAATAAAACTCAAGACGAACTTATACTTGTATTGCTGTGCCATGTATGTACGTATGACGCTATCGAGATAGAGGAGGCGGTGTTCTCTCTGTTTTGATACACCGTGTAGTGTTCTATAGTAGTACGAGTACGCCTGCCCTCCTCTGTAAAATCTGTGTGCCCGTGCGGTAACGTTAGGTTTTCTACACATTCGTGTCGAGTCGTTTTGAACGTAGAAAGACGCACCGGAGATGTGCTTGGAGCAGGACTTGTAGCTCCTCCGTGGCGGCGGGTTACTACAACTGTACTTTCCGCAGAGATATGTGTTTGACTATATGATAGTGTAGCGTGTCGACAGCTGCCATATTATTTTACCCATCTTTTCATTCATGCGCACCGAATGTACTGATGAGCATGATGATGATATAGGCATGTATCTCAACTCAAGGGAATTTATTCTGAATAATAACTATATCGACAAAAGAAAAACAATTAAAAAGAAGACATGTTACGGATATTTTCTTGACACCTGTCTCCGACTTGTGTTTTCTGTAGGTTGAGCGGTACCCACGCTTTTCTCACTGATCATAGAGTAGAACATGAGCGGGGGTGGTGCGGGGGAGTGAGGGGGTACAGAGAATCGGGGGAGCGCCGTTTTCTTAAGAAAGGGGTGGCAAATTCAGGGAAAACGTGTGAAGGAAGGGTTGCTATGTAGTTATATATACATATACATACTATATACATAACAGCTAGGGTGAGGGGAGGTTCAGAAATACAGGGTAACGGAGATGAAATACGTACAAAAAGAACTACACAGGGAAAGAGTAGCCTCTACCAGGCTTCAGGAGTGACAAACTGTACTCCTTTAGCGGACCAACTACCTTGGCATGTTATCCGTCTGCATGGACAATTTCTACCCTTTCCATACGCTTTTGAAGCCTGGTAGCTACACGTAGACGCCACAGAAAGAGTGTGTTCATGAATCTTAAGAGCCAGTACCTACTGTATGTACAGCACATGTACAGTTTGACCAATTTCTACCCTTTCCATACGCTTTTGAAGCCTGGTAGCTACACGTAGATGCCACAGAAAGAGTGTGTGTTCATGAATCATACATGCCAGTATACCTTTTATATTTCCGTGTGGTGCGGCTGTATGTATGTACAGTACGTGCACGTAGGCAGGCCTCTACCTAGTCTCCACAAGACTTCTTTTGCGGGGTGAATAAATCGTAGAAATCGGCCTAAAAAGGGTATCAATTGGCGAGAGAAGGTAGCCGGCAAGAGAAGCTCCATTTGCCCGCGAAAAAATGGAGCTTCTCTTGTCGGCTACCTTCTCTGGCCAATTTATACCCTCTTTAGGTCGATTTCTACGATTTATTCAGCCCGCAAAAGAAGTCTGGTGGAGACTAGCTGTATGTATGTATGTATGTATGTACAGTACATGCACGTGGGCAGGCTTCAGTACCGGCGCACAGAGACGCAATGAGCCGGCCGACCCGACGTGGGCGAGGGGTTAATGCCGGGATCTCACTCTGCCGGCGCGCACTCACACATAACCAAACAGTTCTGTACCGCCTGCCTTCCGTATTAAACCCGTAGAACCGCCCCTACGTACTGCTATGTCCCGTTATTATTGTACGTACCGAGTACCGAGATAAAAAAAAAAAAAAACATATAATCTCCAAGCAGATCTTTTGGTGGCTGCAAAGACAGTATCAGACTGGCCAAGCACATAACCAAACAGTTCTACATACCGTCTGCCTTCCGTATTAAACCCGTAGAACCGCCCCTACGTACTGCGATGTCCCGTTATTATTTTACGTAGCGACATAGCAAAAAAAAACATAGCAAAGTCCAAGCAGGTGGTTGCAAGGACAGTATCAAATTGGCCAGGCACTATCAACGATGGCGAAATGGTAACTGTTTGGCTAATGGATACAGCCTACCCAAACAGTTCTGTACCGCCTGCCTTCCGTGTTAAACCCGTAGAACCGCCCCTACGTACTGCGATGTCCCGTTATGTAGTAAAATCATTCTTTATTCAGAAATACAGAAATTCACATTGATCCCAGGTAACCTCGGTCAATGATGGCCTAGCCGCTAGCGTGCAGAGGGACAGACAAAACAGACAATATGAAAGTACCGACATAAAAACATACGCTCGCTCACACATAACCAAACAGTTCTGTACCGCCTGCCTTCCGTATTAAACCAGAACCGTGTAAACCCACGTACTGCGAGCCGTGGTCTCGTTATTGTTATACGGACATTAAAAAATCTTCTGGTGGCTGCAAAGACAGTATCAAACTGGCCAAGCACATAACCAAACAGTTCTGTACCGCCTGCCTTCCGTATTAAACAGAACCGTATAAACCTACGTATGCTGCGAGCCGTGGTCTCGTTATTGTTATACCGACCCAAAAAATAATCTCCAAGCAGATCTTTTGGTGGCTGCAAAGACAGTATCAAACTGACCAAGCACAAAACCAAACAGTTTTCCCGTCTCTCTTCCGTAACAAGAAACGTCCTCGCCGTAAGCCGAGGTCCCGGCCGCGGTATTATTGTACGATCAAAACGCCTACATGTACATGTATACAAACACGCCAAAATTCAGCCGAAACCTAAACCTCTGCTTGGAGAGCAATGTTAGTTTTTCATCACAGGTTAGATCGTTTTGATGCACGACTGTTCCTAGCGCTACCATTTTCCATCCGAGGCTGGCAGTACAACAAAAAGAAAGCCCAATAAAAACGCTTACAAACACGCCGAAAATCAGCCGAAACCCAAACCACCTGCTTGGAGAAAACTGTTAGTTTTGCATCACAGGAAGATAATGTTTTTGATAAAAGCGTCACTCACACCAGTTTTCCCGGTGGTACAATTTACGAACCAAAGGTAGCAGTACAAAAAAGAGAGCCCGATACAAACGCCTACATGTACATGTACATGTACATGAAGCCTAAAACCTCTGCTTGGAGAGCACTGTTAGTTTTACTTCACAGGAAAAAACGTTTTGATATTTGAAAGCGTCACACACACGAGTGTCCCCAGCGCTACCATTTGCAACCCGAGGCTGGTAGTACAACAAAAAGATAGCCAAATAAAAACGCCAAAAACACGCCAAAATTCAGCCGAACCTCAAACCTCTGCTTGGAGAGCACTGTTAGTTTTACATCACAGGTAAAACCATTTTCATACCATTTGTCACCCGAGGCTGGCAATACAAAACCCCGTAGAGCCCGATAGTAAGGACGAAAACACGACAAAAATGGGCTTTTCAAAACAAGCTTACAGCCTACACAGGTTTCTACGCTAATTTTGTTTAAACCAACCTCTGCTTGGAGAGCACTGCTAGTTTTACATCACAGAAAAAAAAACGTTTTCATAAAGCGCTGCAACACTAGTGTTCCCAGCTGTATCAGTTGCTACCCGAGGCCGACAGTACAACAAAGAGAGCTCGCTAAAAACGCCTACATGTACTCGTACATCTATACAGACACGCTAAAATTCAGCCGAAGCCTCTGCTTCTGCTTGGAGAGCACTAATAGTTTTACATCACAGAAAAAAAACCGTTTTGATAAAGCGCTGCCACACGAGTGTTCCCAGCGGTACCATTTCCCACCCGTTAGGCTAGCGATACAAAAAAAGAAATCCCTTAAAACACGGCAAAAATCAACCAAAACCTCTGCTTGGAATGGAGAGCACTAATAGTTTTACATCACAGGAAAAAAAAACCGTTTTGATAAAGCGCTGCCACACGAGTGTTCCCGCCGGTAAGCCTCACGCGGGTATTATTGAGGCCAGGCAACACAGAGCCATAAACACATCATCAACCCCACTTCCGGGACGGCTCCTCTTTACGCGACGCACGCCGCGCGCTTAATGGCGCATCGACGTCACGTTTTTACGTCCGGGAAGAAGCGTCAATATATCGGGCATGATCTCGTTGACGTCTGACGTTCTTCCGGCGACGCCGGTGACGTCGGCGCGCGTGTGTGTAGCGCCGGTGCCGCTTACGTGCTCGCCGCTTTTAGCTCCACATATGGAGAGGAAAAACAAACCCGGGCCCAAATGATCTCTCAGGTAGACGCAGAACAACATCACGTGGTGAGAGGTTGTTTTTCAGACGCTATTTTTCCCCTTAGAGGATAGCGCTTCTGACATGCAATATGCCAGCGTTATTGTGCAATTCCAACCGGCGAAACGCACCACAAATAAAGCGAATTGTACAAAGTCAATGTCGACATACAAGAGAAATGTTTTTGCCGCTCTCTTACAAAAAAACTAGTCTCTACCAGACTAACTACGCTGTATATAGGAGAATAATTGCCAGGGGAGTTTGGCCGCCTTGTGGGTTTGAATGGGCTTCGGAGGGAAAGAAACTACTAGTACCTCCCCGCGGCCGGATTCCGTTGGCCAATTTTACTCTCTTTTTTGCCGAATTCTACGATCCGTATTCCTGCAGAAAGGCCTGGTGGAGACTACAAAAACCCTACAGAACTAGAAACAACCCTATGGTAAATCGCTTTAACCAAATACGCCATGAAAACCCCACCAGACTAATCTTCCGCGCTACGTCCCCGGGAGAGGTGTGAGATATTAGTTTCAGGGCTATCCGTTTTTCTATAAGTATTGAACGACGCTCGCTTCTAGTGTTGCAGTATTTCTACTCCACGTCGCCGCTAAATATACATTTTTCCTCGCGTTGTTTGTCGGCTAGTCTTTCCCTAGACGGGTAATGATCTCCATATATTGATGACATGAAAAGCGACAAGGAAAAACACGCTCAGCTAAAGCACGTGTGTCTCGGGAGCGGGGCTGGCGCTAACAAGCATCACACAGAAATCAGACAAAAGGCGGCTAACGCGAGGTCACGAGGACGATCCTTTGGGAAGATCGCAGTGGCGAAAATAGATCAGAAGAGGGTTTAAAATATACCATTCAGGCTGCTGGGCACAATGTATATACAAAAGCTGACGTATTGTTCATATATGTATATTTATATATATTTAAGTATGGCGTTTGGATAGTGTGGAATATTCGAAATATGCGAAATATAAGTCTGCGAAAGAAAAAAAACAGTTATTATTCCGTAGTGTTTTTTCTGTGGCTAAATCTCAGCCACCAAGCAGATATGGTGAGGGAGAAATCATGGCCTTTGTTTTGAAGACCCTCACTTGGCGTTTTTTTTATAATTTTTTCGTCAACTACACTCGGTTTTGATTGCAACTGTCATGACCCCCCTCCCCCGCTAGTAGACACCAGACCCAGGTAGCTTTATGTCCCAAACCAAGAAGAAACCGTTGGGGGTGGGGGGCGTGTAGAGGGGAGTGGTCTTAGACTGAGGTTACGGAAACCGTTACATTTCCTGGTGGCTCATTTTTTCTTCTCTTTCAATTTTCCAAGCAGATCTAGATCTTTCCGTGGCAAAATCGTCACCGCCAGCCAATTAAGAGTAGTCTCTACCAGACTAACTACGCTATATACGAGTATATAGGAGATATTTTCCAGGGGAGTTTGGCCG